GATATTGTTTCAAGTCAAAGATTTGTGGGATTATTTTGATACTTATACTATTTCTCTTTTTTTTCATGACAGTGAAGTTTATTTTAAACTGTCATTACCATAATGCAACAAAATCTCAACACTTATATGTAAAAAAAAAAAAATTGCATCTGTCACATGTTTATGTCAACTCCTTGTGCTACGTGTGATTCCCCACGATATAAATAAATTCCTTGGTTTTGTACTCCTGGTCTCCTCGTTCCTCGCTCCGTGTTCCTGCACTGTAGCAACCCATGACAGAATACCGGACCAAAGAAAAATTGAGCGGCGACTTTTCCTTGCATTTGTTTTTTCCGCCTTTTTGAGAAGTTTTTTGTTTTCCTTGTTCTCCCCGCGGCTATGGAAATTGCTGCTCGGTTCTCCGCCTTAGCTTGCCTAGATCTCCCCTTTGTGGAGTATTCCTGGGAGTTCTGCAGGCTTGCCGTGGCTACGGCCCTCGATGATGCCACCATTAATTCTCTGTTCTGGCTCGGGGCCAACTACCATCGCCCCGTGGACCTCCCACACCACGGGACTGAGCTGGAGGGAAGGAATCCTCCAGTGTCTGGAGAGCGTCCTGCCCCGAGCCAGAACCAGCCTGCCGTCCGCGGCTTACTATGGTTCACCGGCCGTTAATATGGCAAGCCCAACGAACGTTAATATGGCAAGCCCACGAACGTTAATATGGCAAGCCCAACGAACATTAAGGTGACAAGCCCGTCAAGCGTTCATGTGGCCCCAGTGTCGGCTCCAGCCCCACAACTCACTGCAGTGCCAGCTCCTCGAAAGCGCCTTGCTGTGCCTACTCCTCCAGAGCGCCCTCCAGCACCAGCTCCTCGTAAACACTTCCCAGTCCCAGAGGATCCCGTTCCTCAGTCACGGCCAGGAGAGCCGTTCCCAGAGGATCCCGTTCCTCAGTCACGGCCAGGAGTGCCGTTCCCAGTCCCAGAGGATCCCGTTCCTCAGTCATGGGCAGGAGGGCCGTTCCCAGTTCCTGTGTTTAGCCCAGGAAGGGCTCCTGATCCCCAGTCAAG